TCTGTGTTTCAAGTACATAGAATTGCAGGACTTTATACTCGTTTATGTTTTTTTTTGCATAGGATGCAAAAGAGAGAGAATCTTTAAATTAGAAGGATGCTCACTAAAATTTCTCTGCTACAATTATTTAATTTATGCAATTAGGGTTAATTTCTTGATGTCTGCTGTTTCCTTTTGTTCTAAGTAGCAAGATGAAGAATTTATTAAAGACTCAATACAGTATTCCAGTAACTAAGTCACTGTACTAAAAGTTTACATGCAAACAGAAACTCCCCTCACTGTTACAGTAAAAGATAAGGCACATATACAAATTAGCTCTAGTACTGTGCCAGCCACTTCTTCAGGTGCAGGTTCCTTCCTTGCTACTGGCGTGTTCCTCCTCATTTCTCTGGAGTCAGATGTGTGTCCCAGAAGTATGACATATATCTTGAAGCCAGGAATTCACTTTTCTTTTTTCTCCAGTCAGACAAACTACAGAGGGGAGAATTGAAGGTAAAACTCCTATTTTCCCCAGATTTTCATATGAGAGCTGCTGCTGAAGACCTGCCTTGACACATGTTCTGCCAACAGAAGTCAAAGCAGCCTCTGCTCTGCCCTGATTCAAGCTGCTAGGCAGTCTTTTGTGGGGTCAGCCTTTGTTTATCCCCATCACCTCAACACTGCCGTGCTGGTTTAAGTGCTGGATGTTTAAAATCTTTACAGGCTTTCTAGTTTATTTTAGGTGGTGGATTTCCAACCAGGTAACTTTAGACCAAAGTAACCTTGATTTGGTTAACCTGGATTTGTTTTATTTATTTAATTTGTATCATTCCTTTTTTTTTTAAACTCATACTTGTTTTCCTGTAGCTTAGCTGCATGAAGAGACTCTCAGAATATAAATCGCTGTCTTATTCTGCCCTTCCAGTCTGCCATGTACTTTGTATCCTTTCTTCTGCAGATTTCAGGACCTGTTATTCCAGTGGAGTTAAAAATTAGACAAAATAAATAATGATTCCACAGTATTAGTGTCTTTTTATTCTGTTGCTCTCTGTCACATAAAAAGAAGTTGTGATTTTTAAAGCCCCCCCTCTTCTCTGCTTCTCCTTGCTTCCCCAACCACAAAATGACTCCGGCCAAGCCTGGTATCACCACGTACTGATGCTGAGGAAGCATTTTGTGCAGTCACAGCAGCAGTGAAGGCAGAATCAGCTGTCAAATCACATGATGGCTCTGTGATGCTCCTTTTATGAGAGGGCCTCTCAATGTAAAGGGGAACTTAAGTCATGGGATTGTTCAGGCTGATTAATCTTACTTGTGTGTTATTTAGTCTGGTAAATCTCAACCACTGCTCTCAGAATAAACTGATAAGATGCCCTTTCTAACAGTGCTGGCTTTTTGGCCATGTGCCAGATTTCAGGCAGGTTAATGGGTGCCTCAGCCGATGAATTTAAAATGCGAATTTCGGATGGCTTTCAGAGCCTGGAGCAAGGCTGCTGGCTTTACTAGAAATGCCCCTCTTTGCTGTGAATGGCTGTTTCTACAGCCTGCTGAAGTACCTGTGCTTTCATGGAGTGGTTCTCTTTATTTAACAACAACAAAAAAAATTGTCTGTGGTTCTCTTTTAAATAATAATAATAATAAAAAAAAGGTAATGCTGTCCTGGTTTCCTGTGGTAAGGCTGGTTCTTATAATTAAGCCTGACCACTTTTCTTTCTGCCGTTGTGCCCATTACAAAATAAATGCTTTCTTGCAACAGTCGTTTAAACAAAAGCAGAGAAAATGTTGAAAATTTGCATTCAAAAATGTGATGTGAAGGCTGATTATATTTTCCTCGTTATTCTACATATCCAATACCTGTGTGTTCCTACTACTTTTTCTGGCCTTTGTTTCTCTTATGATGCCCAGTTATCATATTCTAATTAGCCCTTATTAGTTCTGGTAGAGTGTTTTTTTAATTATTATTATTTTATTTTTATTTTTCTCCTAGTATCATTTTACCTTTGAGAAAGTGCCCTGTGCTCAGGGGACTTGCCTCAGATAAACCTCATCTGGCTGTGCAACGTTCGCTCTAATGTTACTTGCATTAAGAAGTAGCTTTAGTGA